CTCTCAATAAGTTTATTAATTACATTACTAAACATGAATAAAAACATGACATGATATTTTCATACTTAATCCAAAAACAACGAAAAATCTCTTCAAATATTTAAACCGTGGACCTCGCTCGTAGTCCTTTTTATCACGAAAACATAAAAATCACTTTTCTCTCTCTTTATTAAATTCATTTAAATATTTTAATAAAGTTTACTCTTTTGTCTTTAACCTCGATATATTATTTCAAAACTTGATATACATAAAATTTCAATACATTTGTATTTATGTTCTAACTTGAAATTTTGATACAACAAATTTTTTTTTAAATAAATTAGTAACTCTTATCTTTTAATATAAGATATTCAATATAACTAAACAGTTTGCGTAAAAATAGTATGTACGTATAATACAGCATAATTTTTTTTTTAAATAAAAGTGAAGAATAAAATAATCATAAAAATTTACCTTAGTATGTCATAAAACAATATTTAATTTCTCGTTGGATAGTTTCTGCTATTAGAAACCAAGCAAAAAATTGTCTCATAAATTGGAAAAAAAAAAAAATTAAATATACACTACTTTTTTTTTACTCTCAAACTACTTTAAAAGATTTTGGTACTTTTATTAACTTCAAAGGCAAACTGTAAAAATGAAGTATTCAACTGATATTCAAAAATTGTGGGGTACAAACGAAGCAAATCCCTTTTGTGGTAAACAAGGCTACAAGTAAAGTCCATGGTTCAAAAATTGTATAAGATTATTCGTTAACTTTTGATGGAGTATGAAAATATGTTGTGTTTTTGTATGTATGTATATTAACTGGCGGCCCCCGTCTCGGCTTCGCCCGAGACTTACTAAATGAAACACCGTAGTGTGTTGACATGTAATGTGAAACGTTTTCAGTTGAAAATTTTACATCTATTCTTGACATTTCTAACAACAAAAATTTTCTTTTAAAAATATATTTGTTCGAAATCGATACAGTTTATTTAATCAAATAATAAACTGTGATAATTAAAATAAATATAATCATGCTGAATAAAGCTGTTAATATTTGAATCTCCCAAAAATATATATGCTTTTTTTTTATATTATAGTGCTTTACGTCCGGCTCCTATAAAGGGCACTACACAGGGCAGTTAGCACTTTAGAGAAGGAAGGGAAGAGGAATGGGAGGCCTCCCATTACTAGGAGGGGGGTAGGGGGAAATTAGAAAATTTTTGCTGCGAGAAGGTTGCCTAAACCTTCCTCGAGGAGCATTACGTGGTGAAAAAGCACATGCGAAATATCACAGAGGTACTTGCCCGTAAAGTCGCACTGGCCGGGAATCGAACCACGGTCTCCCGCGTGCCAATCCACTACCTAGCCGACCGAGCCACCGCGCGCTCAAAAATATATATGTATTCAAAAAAATATTTTTTTCTTTTATCTCACAACTTTGTTACCAGAGCAACAAAGTCCTGGAGATTCATCTCTTCATTTTTTATTGCCAAAAAAAATGCAAATACATATTCTACCTATTTAAAAATCTGAAGAATTTAAGAGATTATTGTGAGGGTACCATGAAGAGCTGATCTCTTACGTAATGGATTCTTTATTTGTCGATTTTGACGCTGCTGTTTCAATCTCGATAAATGTTCTGCGTCAGTTTCTTGACGTCTAAAATTGTATTCATTAAATGCACATAACGTTTTTTTTTTAATTTGCTCTCTTGCGACTTTTAGTATTGTTAAGACTTTTGTGATCCCTACAGGCTGTTTTTTGTCAACTTTATTAAGTTCTAATATATTTGTTGGCAAGGTAGTTCAACATCCGATGCCGATATTCTCTAGCCGATCTTCTCTGGCCTACTGTTACAGCCTCAGACTGATCAGGAGAAAAATCACAAAGTCTGAAGCTTTGAAGCTAGTTGTAGAGATCTTTCCCGACGTCTCCTGGTACAACGTCAAAAACGTTGGTGTCTAAAGCACCTTATATTTTTTGTAGACTCAGTTGTTTTGGTGATCCAAGGTGGGGAGATTGGTTCGTGATGTTTGCCCGTTGGAGACTGTCTTGTTGGCTCAAGTGTTTTTTTTTCCTTCATTGCTGTAAGGTTCGCCCAGCGCAGACATTGGAGAGGATCGGTGATTCCTAGTTAAATGCTTAGAGTCGAGAGGGTAATATAGGGTCGTCGGTCACCGGAGTTTCCAGTCTTAAGACGAACAACTCCGCTCGTGACGACTGCCAGTAAATGACTGACTTGGTATAATAGTGGCCGTATTTAGTTAACATAGTCTTTTAGTCGACGAATCGTTTCCGAAAAAGGTAGTAAAAATGTATTTGTTGGCAAGGTAGTTTAAATTTAGATGGCCCTTGAAAGAACCAATGAGATTGATGGTTAAGTAGGGAACGTAAATACTTATAATGGCCTTGAAAAGGGCCAGTGTTGAAACTTCCAGCTATCATTCTTATTCTTGATGATAAAGAGCTGGCTGCAGGGATCTTGACTCTTACACTCGAAGTCTCTGTGTACGGAGACCGTGATGGAGAAAGGTGCGCCGCTGACCAAAGCATATCTCGTCTTTGGGTCGTTCCCCGGATAACCAACCGCTCATCGTTAGTCGGGAAAGTAGAGCTTGAGAATACCAGACCTTCTCTGTGAGTATGCCATTAGGACGACCACTGAGAAAGAAGCCAATGTGGCTGCCTGTGCTTCTTAGGGCTGTCTTCCCTGGCTTGCATTTGTAGTAAAAAATTCTCTGACGGTATCAGTCTGGATGGTGGAACGGCCACATTACTCTGAATCGTTGGAGCAGGTTGTGCTCTTGCTAGGCACGTCCCCTAGTACTCCGCCAGAGACGTTATCGGTTACTAAATTTTTTTATTCGTGGCACTCGTCAATCTTAGGGGTTCAGGGTGGAAATGGACCTAGGTCACTTGGAAAAGAGCGTCATCGGTAACCGGGGTATACCCAACTGCACGACTGACAACTACATTCTCGATGCAGTCCAATGTACTGCTGGTAGACGGCTGGAAAATTTTTCGAGATGCTTCAGCCTGTTATAACCACGTTTTATTTTATTCTGTTGCAGGTAGCTTCTATTTTATGTCGGAGCCACATAGTGGATCCAACTGAACTAAAGTGATAATCTGGCGTATTTTTACAAAACTTTGAGCATATTGATTGTCATTGTTATTAACTTTTTCAAGATAAAAACTATACTACAACCATCTAGGAAGTGTCAAGAATCTGTATGCAAAATTTTAGCAAGATCGGTTGAGTAGTTTTCGTGGTTAGCGATTACAACGGTTTTAGTGACTTTGCTTTATATATTAGTAAGATAGTGTACTTGATAAACTTATTGAGAATTTAAGAAGAAAAAAATCAGCGCACCATAGCATTACCTCACGAGTGGTGTGGAGATGTACTAACACATTATATAGATCAAATGAGTATCAAGGGAGTGGTGGAAAATAGCTACAGAGGGCTAGAACAAATATTAAAGCGTTGCGAGGACGACTTGTTTAGAAACTATGAGGGGGCTAAAGAAGGTTCGTTCAAAAGTGTGAGGAGAGCTGACAGGAGGGACGCGAAAAGTAATTCAACTAAATATAATATAATAACCGATATAATGGAGAGCGGCTGAAGAAAGTTGCTTACGATTCTCAGGGGGGCTTTTTGGTTTATTCGGTTATTGAGTTATAAAATTGTGAGGAAGGTAGAGGGAGGCTTGACGAAAATTAAACCCATTTCAAGTAAGGTAACAGCCAACATAATATTACTCTATTTAGAGGGGTGGCTGTGAGGGCTCTTCAAAATCAAGCAGGGTGGCTGAGGGGGTTATACGGGGGAGGAGCTGAACAAAAATAAAACCCGATGAAAATAACTTGTGGCTTTCTACATTCCTCTCACTCCCTCTTGCAAAATTTTTCTTGATCACTCACTGCCTTCCCCATTTCTCCCCCACTTTTTTTATGGAATCTGACTGTCTCTTTACAGCTTATACTCGCCCTGTTTCTCAGCATGGTGGAACATTATTCCTCGAAAAAAAATTGACATCCCTTACAGCTCTTATAATACTTACTATTATATTGGCGTAATATGAACAAGACGTGTTCATAATATTTTCTGAGTGACAAAAAATTTTTAACTGAAAAGTGAGTAAGAACATTACCATATAAGTTTCTTCAATTACGTACATAACTAAAGTAAGTAAAGCAGAAATCAAGAATTGACTTGTTCTGTACTAGCATTCAATAGCGCATTGGTAATATTGTGAAAACGTATGGATTAATAGTTTGATCCGTAAACAAATCACTGGATGTATGTACATACTCATGTAAAAATAAACTAAAGTTAGGACGATAACAGTCTCGTCACACAAGGCAAACATGGTTCATTTGATAGTAGGTTTGACACGATGCTTTTACATTACACCATATGGCTAAATTCTTCATTAATGCTTGGAGTCTAGAATTTTTATATCAAACTGTGTACATTTTGTATAAGTAGTAAACGAGCTTTGGTAACTAAACATAGTATCAGGAGACTTATCCACATGAGCAACATGTGCAGTGCACGAAAGATTCGTAAATTTTAGAAATATTTATTCGCAGATCAACCACTTACATACCTGTAATTTAACAAAATACAATTAAGTGTAGAGAAATAAGTTGTAAGAACCAAAGTTGGAGAACCAAAAGAATTTTCACAATATTTTTTGAATTCATAACTCATGTTTACGTCTTTATCATCTGGTGTAAAAAATCTGAATACTATGTAGATTTAGTATTATTTTTTTTACTATGAACTTGAGTTTCTCTTCTGCTGAAAAACCTGAAAAACTAGATTTTTTCACTCACTTTGTTTTTTACAAGAAAATTGAATCATTCATTATTTACAAAAATTTTCCTTTTGAAATAAGTCCTTAAAAATATTACAAAATATATNATTTTTTATAACTTACTTTTACTTAAATTTTTATGTCTTATATTATTAATACACATAATAATTTAATGTTTACCTTTTTCAGGATCATGATGAGCTTTGAGTGAATAGAAAAATAAACACTTTCCACTAACGATTCAGGAGTCCAATTAATGAACCACAGATTAAAAAATGCATACTTGGAGAAAGTGACACCATTGTTATCAGTAATTACGCATAGAGTTCTTCCATAAAGTTGTATTCACTAATTATTAAAAATGTACAGTATGGTTAGCTTTTATAATTTTATGACAAGACTGTATTACAGAGTATCGCTTTTGTAATTTTTATTGTAATTTTTCTGTTCCTTTTATACTTTGTTTACACTTCATACGTATAGTGTAAATAACCAAATAAAATTGACAACTTTTTTTTTTAATACTTTTGTTTCTCTTACACTATAAATAATTTTTTTAATAGAAAAACTAGATTAATCCATAAAACATCACTCATCAATGGAGTCACCATATTTTACATATCCTCTGAACGATTAGACAATAGTTCGAATAAGAAGACGAAAAAAAAAAATTTTAATTAGTTTGATCCAAGTGAGTAAAAGGCCGAAACTTACACTTGTGAACATGCGTTACCGAGCCCTTAAGTTACATGAATTACAGCCAAACCTACTATGCTACCGTTACTACTTCCCACTGTTATTCTGAACCTGCTTAGCTCAGCAGTTGATTACTGACATTTCTAAAAATGATTCTATATTTCATCTGTTAATACAGATAAACACCCTAAGCAACTTTCTATTACAGAGCCAATGTAATTATTGAAAAATTTTTGAAATTCCAAAGTACAATCTAACAACAACTTTGAAATAGTGAAATCATAACAAATTATTTTGAAACTTAGATATTTTCTTAACTGTTTGTTACACGTCTCTGATGTTTTGATGTTCAAAATGATGTATTACAGATATAACCTTCATTTTTTGAAGAATTGTAAGAAAGTTTCAGCAGTTATTTACGAGAAGATATATTTTCAAATTAGTCATTGATAAGATGCCGTAAATTTAAAGATTAATATATCATAATCTGTGCTTAAACTCTCATAAATTTTTGAACACTTATGGTTGGTAGTGATAGTAAAATATATATTAAATTTCAGCATTTTGTAAAAAACTAATTTCTTGTGAACTTCCTTTAGTATGATTTTTTTAAATATTGGACAGTGTTAAACGATGCTCTGTTACTAGCAGCCTTTGAAATTATAATTGATTGTTTTCATTATTATTATTATTATTATTATAATTATTAAAAGTATATTAAAAATGCACATAATAACTTCAATTTTAAGTGATACTACAAATTATTATTAGGTTGTCGTCATTTACTTTTATTTTATAATGGAACCAATCATTCCGTTTATGACCTAGGAAGAAATTATTTTATTTAAGAAAGTTAAATGTTCTAATACACGGCCGTTCATGTCGAAAGTTGTCCCTGTGGACGCAATTTGAAAGCCAAGTAACTATCTAATTAGGTTTGAAATATAGAAACTGGCAGTTACTATTTGTAGAACTAAGCTCTAATAGGTTGATAGAGTTAGCTCTTTAAAAGGCTAATCTTGGAAAAAATTGCTTACAGTATCTCACACGGTTTATTTAAATTATTGAGTGATAAAGAACTCATCTTTTAAAAAGCGCCTATTCTAAATGCGGGCATTATTGTTTTATTAACGATTTTATGCAAAAAAAAATGCTGAAAAATCGTGTTTTTTAATTATATTTTTAAGCCAATCAACAAAAGCCATATTTTGTGATATGCCAGTTGTAGGTATTATTAAAACAGATTTTTGGTGACCGAAATTTTCGAGATCGATTTATTAATATAATCGACGATTGTTTAATATAATCGACATATGAGGCCAAAAAAATCAAAAATTTTGTTAATTTTTCACTCCGTCAAAAATTTTCTAACAGCTCTGAAACTTAGTGAAAATGTGTCCAAACGTGAAATGTGAAAACTAAATGGTCTTGACAAAAGTGCGACTTTTATACGAATGGTGTTATTTTTGAATATCCCATTAAGAAATAACTACATTGGCATAAAACTGGTATATTCTGTAAGCTGGAATTTTTTACGAATTTCGAAATAAAAATTTATTGTTGTAAAATGTTTACAAGACGAGATAACTTTTTAAATTGTTTCTTAAGCCATTTGTTTATTTAACAACTCAGACGTTTAAAATTTGGACTGTAGGTAGTTTAATACTTGAATTTATAGATCCTGTATTTTTCTCTTTTTTTTTAGTATGACGCTTATTAGGGCTGATTTGAATGTTTATTAACAACCATCTGATCGAGTAGCAAGACACGCTTGTCATTTTTAACTAGAATTTTTATCAAACAACTTCAAATTCATACCTTAAGTAACAAAAGTTGTATCCAGGCCGTTTGTGATTTGATTTTGACCTTTTTTTTATTATTTAGGGTAGCGTGATGAAATATTTTTAACTACTGTATTGCTATTGCAAGCATCATACTAAACAAAAAAAAGAAATACAGGATCTAAAAATTCAAGTATTAAACTACCTACAGTCCAAATCTCAAACGTCTGTGTTAAATAAACAAATGACTTGAAAAACAATTTAAAAAATTATCTCGGTTTGTAAACACTTTACAACAATAAGTTTTTATTTCAAATTCGTAAAAAATTACAGCTCACAGAATATACCGGTTTTATGCCAATGTGTTAATTTCTTAATGGGATATTCAAAAATAGCCATTCGTAAAAAAAGTCGCACTTTTGTAAAGACTATTTGGTTATTGAAAAATTGCAAAAATCGTTATGCCGTTAGTGAACTAGACGTTACAACGAAAAAAATGAGCTCCCGCTAGGACCCGTCAGATGACGGAAACCACATGAGTTTGAATTTAACATTTGACACCTTTTTAATGAATAAATGCATTTTCTCAAAAAGTTAAAAAATATTATATGTCGATTATTTTAAACAATCATAAATCGATCTCAAAAATTTCGGTCACCGAATGTCTGTTTTAATAATACCTACAACTGGCATACCACAAAATATGGCTTTTGTTGATTGGCTTAAAGACATAATTAAAAAACATAATTTTTTAGCATTTTTTGCACTAAATTGTTAATAAAAAAATGATGCCCGCATTTTAAATGGGCACTTTTTAAAAGATGAATTCCTTACCACTCAATAATTTAAATAAACCATGTGAGATACTGTAAGGGTTGAATTTGTTAACTCTATAGGCCTATAAATGAAGTAGTGTAGAAAATGATCTTGTATTTAACTAGTAAAATTTTTAATAGCTTTCTGAGGGATGTTTTTTAATAGTTTTTTTTTATTATTATTATTATCAATTTAAATTAATTAGTAATTAATAAAGTATTATGATTAATATGAATCGTTTTCTTATTATTAATACAAAACTAATTGAGTTCAAACCAGATGTTAAAACTGAATTTCCATTTTTTAGGTAAGAAGTCTTTCATTCTAGGAAAATACGTTTTCCATGACTGTTAATCAATTAATCAATTATTACTGCGTGCCTTCGTAATGATTTTTCCGTGCCTGTTGGGCAAAAATTATTTTCGAGTAAAAAGACCTGCTAGAGTTGACTTGAAGTAAAAATGTCTTAGTCAGATAGTAGCTTTTTTGCCGTATTAATTTTAACACTGTCCTGCATAAACGGTAGACTTATACGCTTCAGCGATCCTTAGCTACTTAGTCATCCTAAGAGTATCCAGCAGCCTAGGCCCTAGATGTCTGTCAACCTCGATGACGAGCTCACTCCAAAAAAAGTTTGACTACTTTTGATTGTCCTCACCAGGTTCCTTTTCATTGCATCCTTGTACCACCGTCTCCCCCGCATCTCCCCTCCGATGATAGCGCTGAGATTTGCAACTGAGTCGCTAATAATCTCCTTAAGTCAACGATCTCTTCAGTCCTCGAATTTCATCGTGACCTGGCCATTTTTTGGAACGTGCTTGCGCTTGTGTCACATATTTTATTCTCCTGAACGTCAATTTTTTACCAAAGTTTATTACGGTAAGATCGAGGCTTGCAGCGATCTCCAAAATCGTTTTCTATCTGATATCAATTTTCGTTTTAACCTAAGCGGTAGACTTAGAATTCAAAAGCAGTGAGTTGCTCTTGAAAAACACCGATCGCTATGTTAGGGAAAATGTAGTAACTTATATAGGTAAAACCTTGTTTTCTCTGACAGTGCCGGGAAAAAGTCGTACAGCCCTCCACCTCGCTAAAGCAGCTTTTGACAGCAATCTTAACGTATCTCGAGTTACTATTGCGTCCCCATGCCTAATTATCTAAAGCATACGCGTGACTAGTATTTGGATACCATTATTGCCCACCACATCATCTTTTAAGGCTGTGTCAAACTCATTCCGATGTTCGTTCACCGCATCTTTCAGTTTGACAAGAACCTCTTTGATAACGGTAGTAATTTTGTTTTTTATTAGTCGGAAGAAAAACGTATTCAGGCACTAGCTAACAGTAGTATTAAGCTTAAGCTTAAAGCTCGTCCTTTATTCGTTGATATTTAGTCATCACCTACAAATCCTGATGGGAACCTAAAATGCTTAATGAGGTGAGTTCGTTCTTGGAAAGCTTTCTTCACAGACTCTTATCAACGCTTTACGGAATGTTGGGCAGCTTCTACTGTCAACTTCATGCGTTGTATTACCTGTTATGCAGAAGTATACCTCACTGCACAATTGCACTTTTTTCGGTGGTTGAAGCTTTCTCAGAAATAACAAAAGTTAATTTCTTATCTATTACCTTACTTACAGCTAGTTGAGACTTGTCCATAACCTACACAACATCTTGTTTCAATAATTTATTTTCTTACTTGGCAGACGACAAATTCAACTTCGATTCTGCTATCATTTTGAAAAACCTTGCATTTTTTTTCCTTAGATTGACTTTCACTTGTCTTTCTCTTTATCTTATTAATGTAAAGAGTTACATCACCATGTCATGGCTTTTAATACTGATCACACTTTCGAAAACCTCCTTTATTCTTTCTTTTTTAGCACCATAGTCTAGGTCCTTAACTTTCAGTGTAACATTTTGTTCGTTGAGAACCACCTTTTTTATATTAGCTACTGACTTCGTCACGTGTTTAGTAGCAATCAAGTAGCGTCCTTTTCACCTTTAACTTTCACAAGAGTATTCTTCTTTTGTAGTTACAATACTGTATAGTGGCTTTATGCTCGTCAGGTTCGAATCAAGCCTTCATCGTTCGTTTCAAGGCTCCACTCATTTATACAATAAATGTTGAAAATGTAAAGTGACATTATGTTTTTAAAAAATGTTTATTTATTCATCAACATTAATTTTTTGTCCCTTTTAAAGTCATCTTCCTCAGATATCATAAAC